CTGCCCAAATTAATTATTGGGGGGCTTACCAGCACGCATCTGCAGGATCTATCAGTCAGTAAAGATAAAGAAAGAGAAGAAGACGACAAAAAGTCGGTGAGCGACCACAAACCCGATTGCCCACACGTCCGACTTCCACGAGTACGGCCGCCCGGCAGCGACCTCGGGCGACATGTAGTTTGGCGTCCCGATCGCTGTCTGCGCGAGATCAGAGACTGGACGGAAGTCTTCGCGCAATGCCAAAGTCGCCGAGCTTGATTGCCTGTGGTTTTGGGCGAGGGAAGGAAGCAAGAGTCGACAGGGCAGAAGAAGGAAGGTTAACCTTCTTTCCGCGGTCCATAAAAATATTCTTGGGAGAACGGTGCACGAGTAACTGGTCAGCATTTTTGTTGAAAGGTGAGCGGTCCCATACCTTTGTTTTGATGTCGCGGTGGAGTATCAAGTGCTCATGCAGATGCCAGACAGCGGAAACAAGCTGCCCGAACAGTCGCCAATCTCCGACTCTTCGAGGGCTTTTGCGCGAATGTAACTGTAGAGATCGCCACCCTCGCAGTACCTGGAAAGGCAACCAAGGTATCGAGGTAAGTCCGCAGAAAAAATAATGATAGAGAAGATAAACTTTTGAACCAAAGACTCACTGCATGACGACGTAGAGCTTTCCGTCGAGCGTAAAGTCGTCGAAAAACCGCACCACGTTTGGGTGGGGAGGCAAGACGCGGCACAGGCGGGCTTCGCGCTCCGCGTACGCGCGATGGTCGGCAGATGTGGAGTCCAAGGCGATTATCTTTGTGAAGTAAACTCGATCACCATATTCTCTGATGCACGTCTCCTCTCTTCTCCATCCCTGTTTAATATACCTTTGCGCAGTGACGCTCGCACAGCGCCGCTCCCGTCGGCGTCCGGCCTGCTTGTGAGGACGACGATGATGCGACAGCGGCGGCGTAGCGAAACAGCCTGACCTCGCAAGTCGAGCCGCGTCCAACCAGGTCGCCAAGGACAAACTGCCTGCTGGTGCGGGACCGGCTTGGGCGCCGCGACTGCGTTGTGCGGCCGGATGCTGCCATGAGGAAGGCTGTATGGCGTAAGCGGGGGACGGATTGTCTCAAAAAAAACGATCGGAGAGAAAGAACTGACGGCACACACACACACGCACACGCACACACACACACACACACACACACACACACGCTCAGGCATCACGGAACTCACGCTCAGTCCTCGACGCTCTCGGAGCGGGCAGTGAGGAGAGAAAATGTTGATCGATTGATCGATCAAGGCTCCCCCCAGAGAGAGAAAGAGAGAGAGAAGAGAGAGAGAGAGAGAGAGAGGAGAGAGAGAGAGAGAGAGAGGAGAGAGAGAGAGAGAGAGAGAGAGAGAGAGAGAGAGAGAGCACATGCATGTATGCCCCACCAACTGTCTCCCGTTTGTCTTTGACATTGCTTCTCCAGTCCCTCGCTTTCGATGTTTTTCCTTTTTCGGACGACGGAGTGCGAGGGGGGAGGCAAGTCTCCAAAATTGCCTCCCACTGTTTTGGGCCGTCGCAAACGAGTCAGAAACGAACTCGGGAATTCTGTGAAACGATTTCTTCCTCTGCTCATCCACCCACCCACCACCACCACCCAACAACCAACCAACCCGATCGATATCCCGTCTGCTCTCCAAAAGTCCCCTCCAACCAGACTAACCCAATGGAATCCCGCGCTACCACGCTCCTCCTTGACCGCGACTGGGCCGCACTCGGCTGCAAGCCTCGCGCGCAGGGCGTGAAACAGGAAGAGGGGCCGTGCGCGCAGCAAGAGAAATCGTTCGCGCGATTGCTCGGCAGCTTCGTGGCACAGGTACAGGGCGTCGACCTTGGGCCGTGGACTGGCCTCAACGAAGATGGGTTTCCACCGCCCGCAAACGTGCACACCAGGTTCGCCCTTGGACAGAGTATTTCGACGGCATAGAGAGAGTTTCCAGTCCAGCTTACATACCTCTCTCTCCAACAGCCTGGAGCCGCTGATGTTCCCCACCAGTGCGCCGACATCGTTCTGGCAACCTCTGATTCCCACCCACGACGCGCTCGGCGCCGCCCTCCTCAGCCCGATCAACCAAGACACGTTCGCCTCGATCTTTGCCGAGCTCTTCCCGAGCCCTCGCAGCCCGATTGATCCAGCGATATCGTCGCTGCTGCCCCAGTTTGACGGGTTCCAGGACACAATTGGTCGCGGTTGGGAGTGTTCGGACTCACCGGCGGTCCGTTCGGACACTTTTACCCCGGTCGTCTCGACTTGCCAGTCCACGTTCGCCGACAACTCGTTTGTGGCCGAGGACGACTCGAGCTGTCCTGCGCCTGATTTGAGCAACTGGAAGTACGCGGCGCGGTACCCCGTATTCGTTGTCCCGCCGTCGTCCACGTCGCCACCGCTGTCGCAGACTCTCGCCGTCTGCCCGCCGTCGTTGACTGCGAGTCCGCCGAATCATGCGACCACCGATGCCAACTCGTACACGTCCGTGCGTCTTGCCGATATTCCGTCGCTGTGCACCCCGTTGCTGTCACCAAAACAATCTCCTTCAACTATTGCAGCGGGAATACTTTGCGGCTTCAACAGAACCGCCTCGTCCTGCCTCGACCTATTCGAGATTTCCAAGTTCACCACGCAGCCGCTCGCCCAAACCATCATGACAGAGTCCATCCTCACCAGCCCCGCCGCCTCACTGACGCAGACCGCGACGACGTCCGAGCCGACTCCAAAGCCGCTGGCGGCCGCAAAACGCCGCAGCAAGCGGTCCACGCAGCATTCGATCACCTGCGAGGACTGCGGCCGCGGGTTCGCGAGGACGGACCTCTTTGCGATCCACCAGTTTCACCACCGGCCGTACGAGTCGCGGCCGTTTCCGTGCGAGCTGTGGTGAGTTTAGTGCAGCTTCGTTATTGCAAATTTCCGTTGAATGACGCCGCTAATTGATGTTTGTTGTGTTAATAACATCCCAAAGCCCTCTTCGATTCTGCCGCCACCACGACTACCTCCGGCACAAGGCTAGCCTGCACTCGGACGCGCGGGAGCATACGTGCCGAAGGTGCGGAGCCTCGTTCGCGAGGACCGACGCGCTGTTTCGGCACAAGGTTTCTTGCCAGAAGGCGGCTGTTGCGGGCACTGGACGCCGACGAAGGGTGAAGGCGCAGGAGGAGGGCTTGGAGATTTGAGTTGTGGGCGTGTGAACTTTCATGGGTCGCAGGGCTTGGTTTTGCTTCAAGTCTTTCAGTTTAGCTGCTTTTCCCATCTCGTCTTCTTCGCTCTTTCTTCTACATCTGTTCATCTCCCTCCGTTTTTCCTGCGGCTAGTTTTTGGCGAACACTTTTGTTGACATTAATTATTCCTACCCTCAAATACTTTGCTCGTATTGACTATGACGTTTTGGTGAGACCTCTGCAGCCTGCGCTCACTTCACCTTCCTTTATTTTTTCGCTGCACATGTATATGATACCGTATCGCAATGGAGCCAGCTTGCTCTCCGTCCTTTGTCGCAAGTCGTCCGTGCCGTAAATCGACACAAGGACTGCGGAGGCGCGCCATGGGAGCTCCGAGAGTCGTTTGATGCGTTGCGGCAAGACGGCTCCCCGATCGAGACTTTGCATCTACTTCTTTGTCACGTGGCTAAGTCTTTCTGGGCAAAGTTAAATTTTTTTTTTTTTTTTTTGTTCATAAAACATCAGCCCCTGTCGTCCAATGGCTAGGACATCACCTCCTTGAAATTCTGTTGAGCTTCCTCGGTGAAGATCGGCGTTCAAATCGTCGTTGGGGCGTTGCCATCGTACTTTTGTGTCGTCGCATGAGCCTGCACGACTTTGTCTTAAAGCCTGATTATCAATTTTGACTGGCGGCCCGAAAGAGTTGAAACAGCTGAGCTGTCCAAGACTTTCTTTGCGGCGATTACAAAGAGGATCTTTCTTTACTTGAATTAGTTCTGGTTGAAAAGGTCGGATAACGGCGGGCGGTGTCAGTCCTGAAAAAGACGAGAAGCGTTAATCGTGGCGAAATGATCATCGATGTTTGACTACGCACGACGAGAAGGGTACGTAAGCCTGCGCCGAACACCAAGGAACTCAGACACACACACACACACACACACACACACACACACAGACACACGATACACACAATCAAAAGCCTAAAAAATTGGAGGCCTTGAACCAAACAGGTCATCCTTTTGAACCAATTTCTGATGGCGGCTTCTTCCGCTTCTCTTTCCGTTTCCGTTTCCGGCCAAAAATTTTTTTTTTTTTTCTCTTTTTTTCATCCTTCTGGTGCCCAGTCGTTTCCCTTATGACAGAACCATCCGCCGCCACAAACATTGTTCATTGTTCATACTGACTACTACGCCGTCGAGGTCGAGCAACGGCGGGCAGGGGCGATGGCGATGGCGGCGGCTATGGCGGCGGCGATGGCTCCTGCTGAGGAGTCGGCCGCGGTAGCAGCCAAAGCCCGCGCTTCGACGAGCACGACCACGACCACAGCGACGACGGCCACTGCCACACTGCCGGCTGCCATCCCCGCCGTCCTCACCCTCTGCGCTTATCTCGACCCGCCCGACCGCCTCCGCCTCGCCACCCTCTTCCGCCTCCGCTCCGTCCAGATCGCCGCCGTCGTCGCACACCGCGCCCCGCGCGAGCTCGACCACGCCAGCGCCCTCGGCGACGTCGACCTCCTCGCCCTCCTCGACGCCCACGCCGCTCGCACCGCCACCCGACTCCGCGGCACCCACGCCGCAGTCGACACCGCCAGCGCCCGAGGCCACCTCGCCGTCCTCCGCTGGTGGCGCGCCCGCGGCGGCGTCGTCCTGTACTCCGCCGCCGCCGTCGACGCCGCCAGCGCCAACGGCCACCTCCGCGTCCTCCGCTGGTGGCGCGACGAGGCCGGCCTCGAGATCCGCTACTCGGAAAAAGCATTTGACGCCGCGTGCCGCAATGCGGATTTCCCCGTGCTCGCGTGGTGGGCAGGCTGCGGCCTGCCCATCCGCTGCTCGCACGACCTCGTCGACCGGCTGGCGACCGACGGCCGCATCGAAGTCCTGCGCTGGCTCGTCGCCGCCGGCGTCAAGCTTGTCGGGCTGTCCTCCAACGCACCCGTCGACGGCCACCCCAGGAGCCCGGGCGTCCTCTCCGCATGCACCCTCCGCGTCACGGCCGACGGCCTCCGCGGCGCCACCCGCAACGGCCACCTCGCTGTCCTGCAGTGGCTGCACGCCGACGTCCTCCGCCGCGACTTCCCCCGCAGCGTCCGCGGCGTCATGGACCTCGCCTCGGCTGCCGACACCAACTTCAACGTAGCGCTCCTCGACTTTTGGCTGCGCCGCCTGGCTCCGCTCGGCCTCGACTACACGATGGCCGCCATTGACGGCGCCAGCGCCCGCGGCGACCTCGCCGCGCTCCGCTGGTGGAAACGCAGCGGCCTCGTGCTAAAGTACTCGTCGGCCGCCGTCAACGCCGCCAGCGCCGCAGGCCGCATCGACGTGCTGCGCTGGTGGCGACGCTCGGCGCTCAAGCTCGAGTACACAACGGCTGCCGTCGACGACGCGAGCGCGAACGGGCACGTGGAGGTCCTGCAGTGGTGGAAGAAGAGCGGGCTGTTTTTGTCGTATACGGATGCGGCGGTGCACGGCGCGACCGCGGCGGGACACGTGGGAGTGTTGAGATGGTGGTGGGAGAGTGGGTTGGAGATCAAGTTTTCGCTGGATGCCGTCCGGGGATGGCTCGAGAACTCGAGCTGCACCGCAGAGGTCGTGGAATGGTGGAAAGAATCTGGGCTGTTGCGGACGGACGATGGCATCATGATGCCGTCTCGAAGGTCTTGGGCTGCGGTGGAGCGATCCCAAGGTCTTTTATTGTCCAAGCTTTCTCATATTAGCCTGAAGCTCATGTAGCACTCCGTGCACCCACTGATGTGAGTCCTAGTGCGTGTGACGGCCAAACGAAGTATTTTCATGCGATGTACTTTCGTCTCATATTACATAATACATACACCACCGTAACTTAGTGAAAATTCTTTCCGTGCGAGGTACAACTGCAGCCGAGGCGGTGCTGCTCCGATTTGGAGGCGGTGAGTGTACTCGGGAACCCATAGCGGCCTCCCCGCCTCCAACACACTGTATCGGCTTCGACTTTGAAGCACGAGCAGTCGGCGCCGTCCCCATGCTCTGCGAAACGGACCTCCGGTCCTCCCGGAATCCCTGCAAACCCAAGTGAGAGTGGTCCTACGCAATCACCTTCCAACTCTGATTTGATGCTGTGTTCAATCGCAGCGAGACGGCCTCCGACACTGAAGTTAAAGTGAGCAGACAAAGCTTTCGGCTAGACAGATGCCAGAGCGGTACCCATACTTGCAAGGGTCGGCCACAACCCGACAAGCAGAAAACGTGACTGCCTTGGTGTGCATTGCTTTGTGAGACACATTGTTTGGGACTTGCGACGGCAAACATGAGCACGTCGAGCGCGACGATTGCGGTACAAGCTAGGAGCTAAGCATCGCGTCGGTTGATCTAACTTCTCAACTTCCTACGCCACTCTGCACTCGCATTGGAGATGCCAGCTGCTAAATATTTTGCAAAACCCTTCTGTCAATTTATTTTTTTGCCTCCCCCTTCTCTCTTCCCCAAAAGTATGGAAACAGGAGCTTATGCGCTCAGGTTTTAGATATCGAGGTAAAATACGAGAAGGACCTTTCAGCAAGTCGCACCATTAAGTAGTACGCTTCCACAAAGCTCACGTTGTCGTCCACTTGCATATCATCAAAGAGCGCCTCCACCTTTCTCTCGTCAATCGCATTAACATGGTCCAGTGTTTCAAACTGAATGACATGCTTCGTCATCTCTCCTTTCCAGTCGTGCGCTTCGAATCTCTGGCAGCCGACCGCGGACATGAGACTGTTGCAGTTGCGACACGTCCCCTTGCACCCAACCTCCTTCACCGTTTTACCGCAGTCGTCGCACTTCTCGAAGCACTTTTGGCCGTCGCCGTTGGGGCAGCATGTATGATGGATGTGGCCGCAATTGCTCTCTCGATCCGATTTGCCGCAGCACGTCCACTTGCCAACGCACAGGAAACCGTCCCAACAGCCCAAGTGCGTGATGCTTGGTTCGCCAGGGTGGAATCGCGTCGTCTTTCGGCTGTGCACCGCTCCTCCTGACTCTCCGTGGAAGCGGCAGGGCTTGACGATGAGAAGAGGATCGCCAACTGCCAACTCAAGTGAGTGGTCCTACCCCGATTCTTCTGCCACCTGCAGTTCCTAATTTGGTGCTTTTGCACTAATCACAGCGAGACGGCCCCCTCCACCGCCCCCACCTTCGCGTAGGCCTGCGCCACCGATTCCGCCAAAGCCAAACGTCATAGTGCGCTCGCCACCAGCTCCAGAGGATGCGGCCCCGACTCGAAACGAACCTCTTAATCATGAAGATTCTGGTCCCGCTCTACGCCACGAGCCATCCCCCACCATCCCTCCTCGCCGCGAGCTCCAACCAGCTCTACTGCAAAGCGATGCTCTTCTTCCGCGCCCGGTTCCCGCAGTCCCACCCTTGAAGCTGCGTCCTCCGCCGATGTCCTCTTGTGCTCAACCCCCTCCTCCGCCGCCGGCCCCTCCAGTACTTTCTCCCAGCCCTAGCAGTATGCCACGGCCACCGCCGCCCCACCCAACGAGCTGCCATCTCCTCCACTCTCTGGAGCGATCGCACCGGCGCCCGCGTTCGTTGACTCGCGCACGGACCTGATGGTGTCGATTCGGAACGCCGGCATCGGCGTCCTGCGAAAGACGGAGCCCGCCGCTGAAGAAACGGGTCCCAAGATTAGCAAAGTACCTGAGCGGAGCTTGGAGGAGCAGCTGATTGAATGCTGGCGAAACAAATTGCATGACGGTGAGTCTTATTTTATTTATTGGTTTTTTTTTGTTTCTCTTTTCGTTGCGAGATCTCGTCTTTGACAACTGGGGCGGCACTGCCTTTTTGTTTTCGATTCGGCGAAGGAGAAGACGAGGACGAGTCGCAGGAGAGGGACAGTGAGGAGAGTGACAGTGAATGGAACGACTGTTGATTTTGCATTGTCAAGTTCTGGTGAAGGGAGTTTTGTGCTGTTTCGGACCGAGGGTGTTGGGGCGAATAAAGGAGAGTTGTTGAGGCTTGCCACACCACGCCAAAACAATCAGAACGACAGCTTGAGCAATATTATTTCGCGCATGACAGAAGTCGGAAGGAGAAAAGAAAAAAAGGGAAAAACAGAGGGAAAAAAAAAGGAGTCGGAAGAACAGACAGCATGCTTCACGTAAACTGCTTGGACAGCGAAATTCAAGAAAACAAACTGCGATATCCGAAGTATGCGTTCATATCCGCCTGGCATTCGAAGCTATTCATTCATTTCTATGTCGAATCGCCTGTCAAGCATACTTGATGGCGTGCTGATCGCAGAAGCAAAGGTTCCCTCAAACACCTCACCATTCAAACGATTCAGCTTTTGAGGTAGTCGCAAAAAAAAAAAAAAAAAAAAAAAAAAAATATGTGCCCGTACCGCGAAACCACAACCCCAACCAAATTCCCTCTCTCAACAGCGACATGTCAAACATTTTCCGTATGAACTTTCGCATTTTCCGTTCGTCGGACCTCCGAGAAACGGACTGATTACCAATCAATCAGACCGTGATTTACTAATGCAAACTCAGTATTGGGGGATTGTAATATTAAATACCAAAAAGGCCATGGCGATCAATGATAATAATCGTTGATCCCTCAACCCACAAGGAGGATCATCGTCACCATCATCGT